GTTAAGAGGTGTCATTTAAACCAGGGGACTGGATGAGATCTCCAGTGGAATGAGAGAGAGAGAGAGAAAGAGAGCGAGAGAGCTGAGCCTTATGTTTGGGATATTCCAAAGACAGGCTGCCAGGGAAAGGAGGAACCAGAAAAGGAAACTGAGAAGTGAAAAAGTAAGGAAGAAGGAAGGCCAAAGGAAAGTTCTGGAAGTCAAGTCTATCAGAAAGTGCATCAAGCAGGAGAAAATAGTCAGCTGAGTCAAATATTGCTGAAAGAGCAAGTAAAATGAGGATTGAGAAGTGACCCATTTAAAGTGTCAGAAAAGCAGTTTCAGTGGAGTGGTAGGAATGAGTGCTGGATTGGAATGGGTTGAAGGGAGAACAGGATTTGGAGACACTGAATATCGGTAACTTTCAAAAAATATTTTATTTATTTATTTAGGCTGCACCAGGTATTAGTTGCTGCACGCGGGATCTTCGCTGTGGCATGCGGGATCTTTAGTTGCAGCATAAGGGATCATTAGTTGTGGCATGTGGGATCTAGTTCCCGACCAGGGATCAAACCCGGGCCCCCTGCATTGGGAGCGTGGAGTCTTATCCACTGGACCACCAGGGAAGGCCCTGAGTATTGACAACTTTTGAGGTGTTTTGGTGCAAAAGGGGGCTAATTTTGTAAAAGATGGGATGTGTATACACTCATAGGAACAACAAACAACAGGAAAAGGGGAGAAATGACAGCACAAAGACATTGAATGGAGGGATTGGCTTTAAAAAGGAGCATGGATTGGGAATTCCCTGGTGGTCCGACGGTTAGGACTCTGCACTTTCACTGCCGAGGGGCTGGGTCCGATCCCTGGTCAGGGAACTAAGATCCCACAAGCTGCAGGGCCAAGACAAACAAAAAGAATGAGAAAAAAAAAAAAAAAAGGCACGTGAACTATCTAGTATAGGCAAGGTGGGGAATATTTATGGGTGCAGTTTGTGAGAATGATGCTGTAGGAGCCAATGGAAGTTCTCCAATTGCTTTAGTTTTCTTAGTTAAGTAGTAAGCAAGGTCATCTGCTGACAGAAATAATCGTGGCCCAAGGAAACACAGTGTGGTTGTCAGGTAGTACTAGGTACCATCTGAAGATTCTGATCATGAATAAGTGAGGTTAGCCACCTTGGCTGTTTCCCCCAGCTACATTCACCTACATGGGTGCAAGTACAGACTCCGCAGACTTAGCCGAGGATGTGGTTTTGGCAAATGAGGACAACAAAATGAGTGAGAGGTAAAGAAGTTCAGGGTTTATTCAAGAGAGTGATCCCGATTGACCATGGAATATAAATAAGCCAGGAGAGACGACATCGAGGTGGTGAGGGAGATGGCAGCATCAATTTATTGATGGTCATGGTGACTCCAAATTAATATAGCTGGGGTATTACAGGGAATGGGCTGGAAAGATTATAGGTGGTCAGAGAGAGGGATGCGTGAAACTGAAACTACGGAGTGGCTGAAATTCCTTGGTAACGACAGGAATGAATGCCCAGGGAAGGTGAGACATAATCATTGGATTTTTAAGGGAACTGAGCCCAGTTTGTTGGAAGGACAATTTATGTCAATAGTTCTCAAACGTTAGCATGCATCAGAATTAAACGGAGAGCCGATTCAAACAGAGATTGCCAGATCCCATCCCCCGTTCCTAGGTAGAACCTGAGAATTTTCATTACCAAGTTTCCTTACTTTGAAAACTACTGATCCACGTGTATGTTGAAATGGCCAAGAATTAAGACAGAATCCCTTTTGTAGACTGACAGAAAGTCAGGAGAAAAAAATTTATCAAGAAATAAAGAAGAGTGGCCTGGTGACTGGTAGAAAACTGCAACCATCAGGGGCAGTGGGTACATAATCTGAAAAGTAGATTTAAAGCTTTTGAGTTTTTACGGGGACTGGTTAGAAGCTGTGTGGCTGAAACCCTGGTTGGTAGCAAAATGTGATTACACCAAGGCTGAAGGCATGTTGTCAAGGGCCTTGCGTGTATTTATCAGTATTTTAATAGTATCGGGGCCTTTCATTTAGTAAGCAGGCCTAGTGTTAAGTTCCCTGGTAAGGGAATCTCTGGTGGAATTGCTACTGTATTTATCTCGAGTCATCCTGATCATACCAATTTCATATTCCAGTAGAAATGAAAACCATATTAATTAGGAAATACTAAGTCTCACAAAGCTAGATATCACTTTATATAAGATTAGGTAGGCTGACATCTGATTTGCCAAGAAAGCTTAAACAGCTTGACAGTAGGGCAAAGGACTGAGAATATACAGAAAGCACTGCAGAACGGAACCATGAAAAACAACGTAAGGGAGTCCACAAGGAGTGAAGGCAAGGCAGAGGCTACACATGGGATCACCACCTGGGCCCAACTTGCAATTCTATGGATTACTCACGGGATCCTAGCCAAATCACTGAGTGCTTCTGCAGCTTAGTTCCTGACTTCTTAACACATTACTGACCAGGGGATTTTTTGCAGAAACTAACTCCTGTGGCTGTAGTATGTCTCTGATCAAAAATGTCTTAAGTGGGTCTATCATTTGTGCCACTTGCCTCAGAGGGAAGTTGAGGGCTAAATGAGATAGTGAACATGTAAAGTGCTATACAAACATGAGATGTTAAAAAACTCAATTATATTGAGCTATCCTTAGAAATCAGGGCAGAATATGTACTTAGGTATATAAAAGGTAAGTGGAAAAGAAAAAAGAAGCTTATACAAGTGGAGTAATGCTGAGGCATATAGAACAGAGGATTAAGTATGCAATGTGGACAGAATCACATTCAATGTGGTCTTGAAATGCAAACCTCAGGAAGGCTTTGCTGTTTATTGACAATTTATGTATAATAACTTTAAGACCACATGCACCCCATGCATATTTCTACCCTAGCTTTTGTTAATGGATTTGAAATTGCCCGCTGCTGCTAGACTATACAAAGTGAAGGCGGGGATTGTGCCTTGTCTAAGTCCTTCAATGGGTTTCCGTTCACAAGCCACATGGTACTCTAACTGCATGCTTAGTTACCTGTCTCACCAGGTCAAGCTCCGTGAAACAGGTAACAGTCTTGTTCATGAATGTTTCTACCATTTAGCATACCTGGATTTAGGAGGTGCACCAAAAATATCTGACTTCAAACTTAACTTCACGGGCTTCCCTGGTGGCACAGTGGTTGAGAGTTCGCCTGCCGATGCAGGGGACACGGGTTCGTGTCCCGGTCCGGGAAGATCCCACATGCCGCGGAGCGGCTAGGCCCGTGAGCCATGGCTGTTGAGCCTGCGCGTCCGGAGCCTGTGCTCCACAACGGGAGAGGCCACAACAGTGAGAGGCCCACGTACCGCAAAAACAAAAAACAAAAAACAAAAAAAAACTTAGCTTCACAAGTTGCTAGTGGCAAATACCTGGCATGCAAAAATTGAGTGAAAGACAGTCTGAACAGTTCTCTGCTAGGAGGCAAGACAATTGGGGTTTAGGAGGACAAAAAGTAACAGGCCTGCAGAAGTCAAGTGGCCGCTTCAGAGTCCACTGTTATTTTAACCAAGAAAATTCTGTACATACACTATTAGCCACCCTACACCAGAGGTGTGCCATATGGCAGAGGAGGAGGAAGTAGCAGTGGAGTGAGTAGTAAACATTTATTTTGAGGACTTTCCGGTGTGACCATGTAGTTAAAATAAAATCACATTACATATCATGAATCAACTTGGCCTCTGTAGGTTCTTACTAGTGCTAGCTGATCTCATACCTTTAAACTTTTAAAAAATTGCACTGCTCACTCACATATGCAATAGAAAAATTCATGAAAACCACCATTATTGCAGTAGTGTCTCTTCTGTCTGTTGCTATGCATATTTTAAGTTACAGAATGCTTTCTGAAAAGGGGTAGTTTCAGTTTTGACCACCTGCAGTAAGTTAGGCATTACTTCACAGTTCAGAGAGTAGCAGTCTCTCCTTGGTGAGTTCTTGCCTATCACAAAGAAAAGCTGTGCCCTTTATTGGCTAAAGCAGCAGTGTTCAAAACCAGTTGGTAAATTTGGGATTGACTGGATCAAGGTTCAATACCATTAAAGGATTAATACTATATTGTGAGCCATGATGCTTTTCCAATATGCAATCATCTTTTGCTTATCATCAGCTGGTATTCCATGTTGTGCAGTGGCTGCAAAGAGAGTTACAACAGATTTAGAAACATATACCAATGAGACATTCATAGATGGTAAGAACCCCAGGAAAGGCCAATGAATGATTAAGTCGCTCCCAAATCCTCAATAAAGTGGCTCAAGATGACAGACTGATACCAATCACTTGTATTTATTTCAGGACATAATACATTATTTTGACCCATGGATGATACTAAACTATAATCCTGTTAAATATCTATAGGATATTTTATTTTTGTAAAGATAGGTCCTTAAAAAAAAAAGACAGATTAATAACATATCAAAATTAAACTGAAAACATAGGTCATTGCTTTCATTCTCTGTCCTAGTGTTAAAGATGTTACAAAGACACACAGAATATCACCCGGCTGGTCTCTTTTGGGGAAGCTATATTCAAATTGACAAAAAGTACCCCTACATTTACAGACACAGATGTTGTCAAAGGGGTCTTTCTCTGATTTTAGCAAAGAAAAACAGTCCAAATTTTATTCTTTATTCTAGGTGATTTAACTAGTATATACCATGTTTGGCACATGGTATTATTTTTCTCCTACTAGAACAAGTTCTTGTTTTCTCAAAGCCTTTCCCCAACTTTTCTAAAATTAAGCTTAAATATCATTTATTTCAAGCCTTCAAAGTAAAATGCTATCCTCATACATACATGTATCAGGTTGGTATATTCATATCTATCCTTTCCAATTGCAGGCTAAGCAAAGACATGCATTTAGAGCTGTATTAATGTATTAAAGCAAAAGACAACCCAACTTAATATCAAGAGAAATTGTGACCTTCCATGTAGTGCTTGACAGAGAAAACACTGATTTTGACACATTGTCTTATTTTATTCAAATAGCAGTCTGCTCACACATGGTCCAAGAACACCCAAATAACAAAGCAAAGACTGGTCTTCAAACATTATAGCCAATGATGCCACGCTTGCCTATGATCTCGCCAACATAAAACCACATCCACACCTCAGTGGCCACCAAACCATTCAGTAGAGCTTCCTGAAAAAAGAAGCACAAATTTTAATGTACATTTTTTTCTTATATATTTAAAACTATTCTTTTCCAGGATTAAGTGACAGAGAATATAAGGATGCTATTCAAATTAAAGGGGAGTTTTAGTCAGTCAAGAATTACTGATGTTAACTTTAACTGCTGAGAACCCTTGAACTTTCAATTATGTAAGGTAAGTAGGCCAGAGCTTATAAATTCTTTCAAAGCATTCTTTAAAGACCTGAACTGACTTAACCCTTTCATTATTAGTTTATGAGACACTTTATGAGCCCTAAAACAACCCACATCCTGGAAATAGCTGCCACATTTAGACAGGGCATTCATATGAAAGGATGGCTATAGGAAGGCAAGTCTCTCAACAGACATTTCTGTCTGGCCAAAGAAAATCTGTTGAAAGATGAAGGGCTCTATCTTCCCCTTTAGACTAATTTTTATTCATTTATTATTTGGTTTAATTCTTTCCAAGTATTCAGTAATTAGTTTCACAGATCAATGTTTTATTGCCCTAAAGAGAAAAAGTACACACACACAGTTCCAGAAAACAGCGGTTCACACAAGCACAAATATGGATCTTGAAACTCCAATTGAAAAAAATACCTTTCCACAACAAAACTGGGCCTTTTCCTTTTAGCACCTGGAAGTGAATTTGTTCCAATTCTTTTTTCTTTTTCTTTTGGACGTGCTGAGCGGCATGTGGGATCTTAGTTCCCTGACCAGGGATAGAACCTGTGCCCCCTGCACTGGGAGCACAGAGGAGTCTTAACCACCAGGGAAGTCCTCAAGTTCCAATTCTTTAGAATTCTTAAGTCTTTAGATTTTATCTCCACCCTTCACATCATATTATATGCTTCTAGGTTTTGGTATTTTTACCCTCCATGAGTGTTAGCTGCTTGACTGTGATATAGACAAAGAGATCTTTTGGCCAAATCGGGGATAGTTTTAGGACTACAGACAAAAAAAGTACAGAATCAGCAAAGCAAGCCATTCCATTTAGTACACTAAACAAACAGGAAAGGAAAAAAAAAGCTGCCCAGTAAAAATGATCACTTCTTTGTTATAAGATTAATAGGAAACTAAGACATAAAATAGCCCAATTATTTCAACCCAGATGACAAAATTACAGTCTCTTTCTCCACAGTCAAAAAAGAGATTATCTCTCATTATGCTGGTTTCAGCCTCACTGAAAAATACATATATTAATCAAAACAATCAGAAAAATCCCAAGGGGAGACATTTTCTTTTATGCACATACGTTTTCATTTAGCCCATAGTTACCTTAACTGTAAGCTGTTTGAAGCTGCCAGTTTGAGCACTATTGATCATTTTTTTCAAGCTCTGAATAGCTGTAGGGATCTCAGCAGGGGTTGGAGGAACCAGCTCAACCTTGGCATAGTGCCAAAATGTGGCCAATCGAGGCTTCGAGTAAGTCACAGCAGCTGGAAAACAAAACAAAACAAAAAACCAGGATGAACTCACTAGAGACCGAAAGAAGCAGATGTGTGGGCTGGACACAAATATTTATTCATGCATCACATTCATTCAATGCTTGTACCAAATGTGCACCCGGTGTGAAAAGTCAAAGCTGCTCCCTGGAAACCAGAGGCTTTTAAAGATGCAGAACACCTGTGTCACAGGGCCGTTCCATCAGGCAGGAAGCTATAAGCACATTCAATCATGCCAGGACTGCACTAGTGGCCAGTACCAGAGTGCCAGTACCTCATTTATGAATGGCAAATCTAGTTAACTATAAAGTTACTAGAAATTGTGTTCAAAAACAAGAAAACAGCAGCAATGTAATCATATTGTCTTGTAGAGACCAAGCACAGCTGCTCCTTCAAAATACCACAAATAATAAAAATAAAGCCTACATGTATTGTTAAGAGCAGCCAAAACTTAACTGTTATTAAGCTGAAATTCCTCAAGGTATTTACTATTTCAGGAAAAAAAAATTTTAATGATCAGGGCAGACGTGAGACTATGGTAGTGATTTCAGCAAAAGAAAAGGTATTTTATATAAAAAATTACAAGACAGCATGACAAAAACAGCACAAATACATGAACATCCATAAAGTGTCTATTGCTTAAAGACAGATAACCCAAAGCTCCTGGTACTTTCCCTATTATTAACTGCCTGTATTTAGGTATTTCACTACTCTTAAAGTTACTATCTCCATGATCCTCTGGCTTAGGGCCATGGGTAAATCTTTAAGCGGACCCAAAGCTCTAACAGATAGTTCTAAATAGAACTGCCAACGCCTGTAAGACGGCGCCATCAAAGAGAACAAAGTCTTGTTTAACAGTCAACAGTCTTTAAAATTATCTTCAACATACAGATATGTTATTCTTTATAAACAAATCAGTACAATGTACACAAACACTGTACTTTAGTTGGTAAATTTGTTTCTCAGGGAGTTTAGGTTAAAAAGTTTGAAACTACTTTACATGTATACAAGGGATGAACAAAATATAAGTAAATGAATGGTGGATGATGGGAGCCAGGTTTCTCACTGTAAGAGAGGGAAGTTACAGATGTGGAAGAAAAGAACAAACTTTGTGGTACTGGATTAGAGTTGGAGACATTCATTATGAACCTATGTTTAGTTTTATATACAGATTGGTCAATAAGAAACAACTATAGTTGACCTTTGAACTGCACAGGTCCACCTATATGTGGATGTTTTTCAATAAATATGTACTATGGTACTTCACCATCTGAGGTTGGTTGAATGCACGGATGTGGAACTGTGGATATGGAGGGCCAACTGTAAAGTTATATTTGGATTTTCAACTGCATGGGGGTCAGCGTCCTTAATCCCCACATTGTCCAATGGTCGTGTGTGTGTGTGTGTGTGTGTGTGTGTGTGTGTGTGTGTACACACACCCATGGGTGAATATATAGATGGTCCCCAATTTTTTTTGTGTGGGCGTGGGGTACGCGGGCCTCTCACTGTTGTGGCCTCTCCCGTTGCGGAGCACAGGCTCCGGACGCGCAGGCTCAGCGGCCATGGCTCACGGGCCCAGTCGCTCCGCGGCATGTGGGATCTTCCCAGACCGGGGCACAAACCTGTATCCCCTTCATCGGCAGGCGAACTCTCAACCACTGCGCCACCAGGGAAGCCCCATGGTCCCCAATTTTTGATGGTTCAACTTATAATTTTTCAACTTTACAGTGTGAAAGTGATATACGTTCAGTAAAAATGATACTCTGAACTTTGATCTTTTCCCAGGCTAGCGATAGTGGGTACCATACTTTTTTGTAATGCTGGGCAGCGCCAGCAAGCTGCAGTTAGTCTATCATGTGATATGAGGGTAAACAACCAACACACAACCATTCTGTTTTTCACTTTCTGTACAGTACTCAATAAATTACGTGAGATATTCAACACTGTTTTCTAAAATAGGCTTTGTGGTAGGTGATTCTACCCAACCGTAGGCTAATGTAAGTATTCTGAGCACGATTAAGGTAGGCTAGGCTAAGTTATGATGTTGGTAGGTTAGGTGTAATAAATGCATTTTCGACTTACAATATTCTCAACTTGTGATAGGTTTACTGGTACGTAATTTTATTCTAAGTAGAGGAACACCTATACGCACACACCTCCTTATCCACCACTGAGAGGGCCTAGAGGCAATGAAATTCTAGTACAACAGTCTCTTCATATCTGATTTTGCCTTCCATAGTTTCAGTTACCTGCAGTCAACCACTGTCTGAAAATATTAAATGGAAAATTCCAGAACTAAACAATCCATAAGTTTTAAATTGTGTGCCTTTCTGAGTAGTGTGATGAAATTTTGTGCTGTCCCTGTTCCATCCTAATGCTGTGTCACAATGCCTACATCATCTGCCCCACCTTATCCTATCATGTAGGCATTATAATATCTCACTCATCAGAAGGGTGAGTACAGTACAATAAGATATTCTGAGAGAGAGCCCCCCTCACATAACTTTTACTGCAGTATTTTAATTGTTCTGTTTTATTAGTTATTGTTGTTAATCTTTTACTGTGCCTAATTTTTTTTTTTTTTTTTTTGCGGCACGCGGGCCTCTCACTGTTGTGGCCTCTCCCGTTGCGGAGCACAGGTTGCGGAGCACAGGTTCCGGATGCACAGGCTCAGCGGCCATGGCTCACGGGCATAGCCGCTCCGCGGCACGTGGGATCTTCCCGGACCGGGGCACGAACCCGCGTCCCCTGCATTGTCAGGCAGACTCTCAACCACTGCGCCACCAGGGAAGCCCACTGTGCCTAATTTATAGATTAAACTTTATCATAGGTATTTAGGTATAGGAAAAAACAGCATATATAGGATTCAGTACTATCTGTGGTTTCAGGCATCCACTGGAGGTCTTGGAACTTACGTTCCATGACTAGCATAGTCTAGTGGGAAGGAACATATCCAGTACCTAGATCTTAGTTTCAAAATACAATTGTCCAATAAAAGGAGCTAGAGTTCCTTGGAGAAATGGCTAATTCTAAGGCTGGGGCAGAGGATACATAAGACGAATCTGGGGAATTCCCTGGCGGTCCAGTGGTTAAGACCCTGCACTTGCACTGCAGGAGGCACGGGTTCAAACCCGCATGCCACGAGGTGTGGCCAAAGAAAAAAAAAAAGGAAAAAAAACAACAACAGCCCCATAGCTCCAGACTAATCATGACAAAGACACCAGACAAATCCAAAATGGGGAACATCTTTAAAGGATACCTAGACAGATACCTACACAGACATCTTGAGACTGTCAAGGTCATGAAAGGTAAGGAAAGGTTGGGAAACTGTCACACAGGAGACTAGAGAGATAGACAACTCATTGCACTGTGGTACCCTGGATTGGTTCCGGGAACAGACAGAGATTAACTGAAAAAGCTGGTGAAATCCAAATAAAGTCTCAAGTTTAGTTAATAGGAAAAAAACCAAAAACCAAAAACCCCCCAGACTCTATGACCTTTCCGGGGAAGTTTGATGAATTAAAATTACTTATTTCTGTAAGTGTCTTTGTCCTCCAGGAGAATTAACAGATACAGTAAGCAATATTTTAGATATTTAACATTAACATTTAATACACTGAGTTAAGCTACGAAGCAAAATACAGCTCCACTTTAACATTCTGGCCCCAGATGAGTTCTCCTTTCTGAGTACTTCTGGAAGAATAACAACCTATATCTTTCAATTATTCATAGTAATAGAAGAAATGGTTGATATATTTCATAATTATTTTCATATTACTTTTCTTTTTGTAAATTATCATTAAAATTAGTTTGCAATTCCCCAAGATGCACCACCGAAAAGATGTGAAAGCCCTGATTGGAGAAAAAAAATCCACGTGAAATTTAAAAAAATTTGCCTCACATCATCCACAAAGTCCAAATAATCAAGCCACTATTCCTTCTCCCTGTATTATGTAAAAATGTAGAGCTTTATCTTAGTCAAGTTGTAAACTTAAGTTCTTTGGTAAAGTGTGTAAACTTATAATAGTAGTGGACTGTGGGGTTCTGTAGGAGAAGAGGATCAAGTATTTAAAGTATCTGACACTGTCAGGCATTCAGTAACTCATTGCTCGACTGCTGATGGAGAAAAGGGAGAAGACAACGAAGAGAATTTGAGCGAAAGCCGTTCAGAGATCTGCGTTTCAACCACTTACTAGAATATAGCACATCTAGCGAAGAAGCTTCCGTCTACTTAACTGATCTCAGTATGGGGATAAAATGAATAGCTTTTTGCTACAGCAGACAAATGAAATACTTACTGACATAAGACTACTACCCTGGGCTGTGACTACTCAGGGTTGTTCTGAAATACAGCATTCTACCAGTAAGGATACATCCAGCTTTTTCAATCAGAAAATCGCCACGAACGCTAACCTATGGTAATAAACACTGCTGCTTACAAATATCCCTTCCTATGCTTACCGGGGCAGGAATATTCGTTCGTAAAGCTCAATTTCACCTAAAAATTCCCTTAGATTAAAGTCGAAGTATCTCAGAATCTGGCCAGGACAGAACACAAAGGCAACGTTCCAAAGGTCACCCATGCTTAAAAATTCTGCAGACTTCCACATACTCCACTGAGAAGCAGACAAGCTGATGCGGCCGCATTTCTGTGCTTTCATGTGTCTCTGCCTGCCGTCTCCCACGCTCTCCTAGCGGAGCCATCCCCTCTCTATTCCTCCTCCTGGAGGTCGAAGGGCGTCATGGCGGCGGCTGCTGGGCAACCCCGGCTGCCTGCACACTCCCTCCGCTCGCTGTTGCGGTCAGAATTCACAATCTCTAGGCTGTAGACAGAACCCAAGCCGCAGGCCTGGCCAGCGAAAAACTAGAGAAGAGCCGCCAATCCGCCTTCTGCCCCCACCCGCCTCCACGTTCAGGCCGTGCCCGCCGCGCCTCCCGCCGGCCGCTCGGGTGACCGCCTCCCGCGTCCTCCCCTCCGGTCCCCGCAGGCCTCTCCGCCCGCCCGGGTACCCGCGTAGGCGGGCTGATGCCGCGCTCACCGCTGACCAGCGCCGGGGCCTTCTCCGCGAGGTTACGGACAAACTGGGCCATGGTTCTAGGACAGAAAGCCCGTCTCGCCGACTGGCCGGCTGAATGTCACCCTCCCGGAAGGACCTGCCGCAGGACCCCGTTCCGCTTCCAAGGTCAGGCCTCCCCTTTCCGCGCCGGTCCAAGATATTTACGTGTCCTAGTATTTTTCCGGAATTCAGTGGGCCAATTCATTTTCTTCAGTCACACATGAGAAAGTGGGTACGAGAAGATGAGATCAGAGATCACGTAAAAAACAACGGAATTCCGCAGAGAAACAGGCATTTCTTGGGGCAGCCGCTCAGGGAAGTCCGAAAAGCCGGCGCGAGGAGGGATGGCGCATGCGCCCTGCGGTGGCGCAGACCTCCACTGTTTTTTTTTTTTTTTTTTTT